ATTCTGACAGGTATACTTGGAAGAGGTTCTGTTTTGAGTGAGAGATCTGGGGTTCTTTTCAAAGCTAAATGAGATTTAGTAATTTTGAGTTGGGGCAGAGGGAGACCGGGTTGCTGTTGAGAAACTGTGGCAAAGCCTATGCATGCTTCTGTGCTTTTATTCAGAGACTTCGAGCTACTGTCGAGAGGTGGTATGGAATCTTCTCTAAAGTGAGATATTGACTAAAGCTTATGATGACAGATCAGAAGTATTAACTTGGCAGAGCTGTTACAATGAGAAGGAGTAGCAGGTTGTCTGGAAAATTATATGTGATAAAATATTTTTACTTCCGACTTCTTATTCATAGTACACTCTTCACCAAAACAAATCCTCTATAGCATACTTGCTGCTACAGATTATTATAAAGTTACTCTTATGTTGTAAGAAACCCTGCTGAGAACTTACCTAATATAATGTTTAATGGTCAGACTGAGATATATATTTGTATTTGAAATAATGACCTTGAATCACAAAAGTTGTTAAATGTCTTTTTTTTGGGGGGAGGGGCACACGACTTGCGGGATCTTAGTTCCCCAGCCAGAGATTGAACCCGCGCCCACAGCAGTGAAAGCACGGAGTCCTAACCACTGGACCGCCAGGGAATTCCCGAAAAACATACATTTTAGAAATGATTCCATCAAAAATAGTTAATAGGGCTTCCCTGGTGGCGCAGTGGTTGGGAGTCCACCTGCCGATGCAGGGGACACGGGTTCGTGCCCCAGTCCGGGAAGATCCCACATGCCGCGGAGCGGCTGGGCCCGTGAGCCATGGCCGCTGAGCCTGCGCGTCCGGAGCCTGTGCTCCGCAACGGGAGAGGCCGCAGCAGTGAGAGGCCGGGGTACCGCAAAAAAAAGTTAATAATTTTTTAAAAGAACCTCAGTTTCTTAAAGGGCTAACAGTTACTGAACTCCAGCTGGATTGTAGGTGAAGCCTGACACCACTCGACATCCTCACCCCTTAGGAGAGCATTTAGATTTAGATAGCTTCGAATTTTATCAGCCGAGTAGAACAGGCAAGGGACAGGCATCATCAGCATGTCCCTACTGAAACTGATGCAGTGTTTGGCAATATCACCATCCCCAGTCGCCTTAAGCTTTGTTCATTTATACTTGTCGGTGGGCATCCCCACCACAGAAAGAAAAGTGGGGCCCGCAGAGTAATGGTGGATGGGACATGCCAAGAAGTTAGTGTTCAAAACTGAGCTTGCCATTCAGGCACCTCTTCAGCTCAGTTCACACTACATTTTGTTTGACAAAGTTATTGTACCCTATTACCTTAAACTTGCATTTGTGAATCTGAATAGATGCTTACCCCTTTTCAGTACCTTCAGTGTTGTGCTTAAAGCATTGTCATGCTTGGAAGCTATTTTGAATAGGCAGATTTTGAAGTATTCCATCTTTTTGCCCACCATCTTTTCAGTGAAGCTTTCTTTGTCCACACTGTTTATCCTTTTTCGCTTTATTTTTCTCCATGGCACCTATCTTCTAACTTGCTTTATAACTTAGTTTGGTTATATGCCTGTCTTCACCCCCTATTTTAGGCTGTCATTCATTCTTTTTTAATTCATTCTATAATGGACGGTTGATGGCCCTTTGGGTTGTTAACAGCCTTTTTTTTTTTCTTTCCAGTTGCAAAAACTGCTGTGAACATGCTTTTGCATTCTTCTGGTGCTCCTGGGCAAAAGTTTCCCCAGGGAACAGGTTTAAGAGTGAAATTGCAGTCACAGTAATTGTACATGTTTAACTTGACTAGAATATGAACAAAATTTGCAAAGTAGTTGTGCAGATATATGTTCCCACTAGCAGCAGAGAAGAGTCTCTGTTGCCCCTTGTCTTCTCTAGCACTTGATATCAACAGACTTCCAAGTTTTTGCCAGATTGGTAGATGTAATAAAATGATAGCTCATGATGGTTTTATTTGCACTTTTTTGATGACTAATGAGATGAGAGTCTTTTCATATATTTATTGGTCACTTGTGTTTGTTGTCCTTTGTAGTGCCCATTGAGGTCTTTGCCCATTTTTCTATTGGATGTTGGTCATTTTCTTACTGATATGTGAGAGTTCCTTCATGTATTCTGTATTCCTTACTTTTGTCTGTCACGTATGTTGTATTTATCACCAGTTTCTGGGCCTTGTCCCTTCTGTCACTCTAGGGTATTAAAAGTCAAGGAAAAGTCTTAATTTTAACATGGCTGAATATATCTTTTTATGGTTTGGGCCGTGTGTGTGTGTGTGTGTTTAAGAAATTGTTTCCTACTCTGAGCTCATAAAAATATTCCCTACATTGTCTTCAGAGATTTTTTCACTTTCCTTTCACGTTTGTCTTTAAACCATTTGGAATTGGTTCTTGTGTGTAGGATCTGTGGAAGAGATCCAATTTTATTTTCCCCTTGTATGGGTGATCACCTGTCCTAGTACCATTTATTGTCTACTCCCTCCTTTCCCCACTGATCTCTAGTGACCTTACTGTCATGAAACAGATTTCAACATGTGTGCATCTGTTTGGGGGCTTTCTATGCTGTTCCTTTGGTCAGTTTGTCTGTCTCTATGCCAATGCAATTCTGTCTTAATCACTGTAGCTTGATAATAGCTCTTGATATGTTAAGCAAATCCCTCCATCTTGTTATTCTTCAGGAATATCTTGGCTATTCTTGACCCTTTGCAAATTGTGTAAAAATTTGAGTCAGCTTATCATGTTCCACAAAAAATTCCTCTGTGATTTTTTTTATTAGAATTGTATTGAATCCACAGATCAATTTGGGGAGAATGATGTTTTATTACGTTAAACCTTCTAGTCAGTGAACCTGGTATTTTTATTTTTTAAAGCTCTTTGTCTTTGAACACATTTTTACTAATTTACTTCATAAAGGGCTGCATATCTTTGGTTGGTTTTTATTTTAAATTTATTTTATTTTTATTATTTTTGGTTTCGTTGGGTCTTAGTTGCGACATGCGGGATCTTCGTTGCAGCGTGCGGGCTTCTCTCCAGTTGCAGCACGCGGGCTTAGTTTCCCCATGGCGTGTGAGATCATAGTTCCCTGACCAGGGATTGAAGCTGCGTCCCCTGTATTGGTAGGTGGATTCTTAACCACTGGACCAGCAGAGAAGTTCCCTTTCGTTAGCTTTATTCATAGGCACTTTTCAGAAATGCTACTACAAATGACATAATTTTTTTATTGTGGTAAAATATGCACAACATATCATTTTAACCCTTTTTGCATGTACAATTCAGTGGCATTAGTACATTCACATTGTTGTGCAACTATCACCACTGTCCATCTCCAGAATTTTTTTATCATCCCAAACTGAAACCCATTAAACAATACTCCCCATTCTCCCTTCCACCCAGCCTCTGGTAACTAACCACTGTTGTACTTTGGTTTGTTGGGTTTTTTTTTTTTTTTTGCGGGGGAGGGATTGTTTTGGGGGTTTTTTCTATGAATTTGACTAATCTGAGTACGTCATATAAGTGGAGTCATAAATGGCATTTTAAAAATATACCAGTATTTGTCTTTTTTGAGTGAATAAATCAGTGTTTTATTAAATTGGTTTTTGTATTTAGCTAACTTGCTTAAAATATTAATTTCAGTAATTTAGCTGGGGTTTTCTGTATAAACAGGCATATCACATGTGAATAAAAGGCTTTCCTGGGCTTCCCTGGTGGCGCAGTGCTTGAGAGTCCGCCTGCCGATGCAGGAGACGCGGGTTCGTGCCCCGTTTCGGGAAGATCCCACATGCCGCGGAGCGGCTGGGCCCGTGAGCCATGGCCACTGAGCCTGCGCGTCCGGAGCCTGTGCTCCGCAAATGGGAGAGGCCACAACAGTGAGAGGCCCGCATAACGCCAGGCAAAAAAAAAAAAAAAAAAAAAAAAAAAAAAAAGGCTTTCCTACTATTAAACCTGCCCATTGAGTTATAAATTTTAATTAATTTTTTGTATGCCTAGATAGTTCGTTTTCAAATCTGTTGGTTGCCTCTCGAAGCTCTTCTTTCTTTCTTTTAAACTGTTATGTGTTATTTGATATTCGATTCTGTTATAAACTGTTTGCCGTTCTGATTCTGCTGTTTCTGCTACTTTCTGATGGTGTTTTGTTTTTTGTTGGTATTTTGTGTATGAACTGTCATTCCTTCACATTTTATTTCTGCCAGATACCTGGTGGCAGTACTAATTTAGGACCACTTTAAATTAAATTCTTGACCCGAGAACCATTTGGAAGTCTGAATTTGGGCTCTCCACTTATAAGAAGTCTGGGCTGGTTTGTAGTTATAACTTTTCAGGGTTTTGTTGTTGCTGTTGTTGTTGTTTTGTGCCTGGGGAGAGGGGGATTTCACGGGCAAGTTTTGTAATCCCCTAGGGAGGGTTTCTAGCTCACCCATATACTGAGGGTATATTAGGGTCTCAGCTTTATGAGGAATTGCCTGTTCAGACACCCCGCCGTGGCAGACCTTGGTCTTTGCTTCCTGTGTCTGTCCTGCAATGCTGTGAAAATTTAATGCTCAGATTTTTCCAAATAGATGCCCACTTCTTGAGTGATTACATTTAACCATTCCTCTTTCACTTGGGTTTTACCCTCTTGCTAGTTCATCAAGGCATTTAAAAAGTTTTTCTGCATTTTTTGAAACATTTTTAAGTTATGTCCATTAGGAATGTAAATCAGGGGAACAAATCCACCATGTAGTTGGAAATTCCTATATCATTTTACTGTGTTGTTTTTAGTCATTTTGGAAAGGAAATCTGGGATTAAATGTACATTTTTTTATTTATAAAATTGAAATGGAGAGTGGCCGTTTATGGCTGCTAATTAATGATATTTCTTTTTTTTATAGGTGTCAGCTGTGATGCATGTTTAAAAGGAAATTTTCGAGGTCGCAGATATAAGTGTTTAATTTGCTACGATTACGATCTTTGTGCATCTTGTTATGAAAGTGGTGCAACAACAACAAGGCATACAACTGACCACCCAATGCAGTGCATATTAACAAGGGTAGATTTTGGTACGTATTTAATTAAAATTTTAATGAATTATCATTTAGAACTTTGTGTGTATGTGTATGAAGAAGTAAAGGCAAAATGTTCTAAAACTGTCCCCAGTAGCATACATGAGGCTCCAAATTATTAAAAATAACATGAGTCTTACTTTTTTATTCTAAGTAATTTTTCCTCTTATAGTTTATTTATGAAAGCCATTCAGAAATAAATACAACCAGCAAGGTATGAAACGGAAGAGTGCCTCAGTAAAGAAGGAATAAAGTTTAAACTGACCGTTCTTGCTCTGGTTATCAGGAAGCAGATTATTTCTACAGTTGATTAGAAGGCACTGTCAATTCATAAGAAAAGCTTTAAATGTTTCATGCTGTAATTTCTTACTAGTCAACACTTGTTATTATCTGATTATAGCCATCCTAGTGGGTGTGAAGGTGAAGTGGTGGTATCTCACGTGGTTTTGATTTGCATTTCTCTGATGGCCAGTGATGTTGACCATCTTTTCTAGTGCTGATTAGCCATTTGTGGATCTGCTTTGGAGAAATGTCTATTCAGACATTTCTGCTTTGGAGAAATGTCTGTTAGCCATTTGTGGATGTGCTTTGGAGAAATGTCTATGAATAGACATTTTTTAATTGCTCATTTTTTAATTGGGTAATACGTCCTTTATTATTGACTTTTAATAGTTCTTTGTGTATTCCATACACAAGTTCCTTACAGATAAATGACTTGCAGAAATTTTCTCCTATTCTGTGGGTTGTCTTTTCACTTTCTTGATGGTATGTTTTGAAGCACGTAAGTTTTAATTTTGATGGTGTCTAGTTTATCTGTTTCTTTCCTTTGTTGTGCTTTTGGTGTCATATCTAGGAAACCATTGCCTAATCCGAGATCATAAAGACTTAAAATCATGTTTTCATCAAAGGGTTTTATAATTTTAGTATTTAAATTTAGATCTTTGATCCATTTTGAGTTAATTTTTGTGTGTGGAATGAGGTAGAGTTGCAACTTCATTCTTTGGCATGTGAATATCCAGTTGTCCCAGCGTCATTTGTTGAAAAGACTATTTTCTACCCAATGAATTGTCCTGGCATTACTGTTGCAGATCAGTTGACCGGAGGGAAAGGGGAAATTGGGGTGTGTTGGTCAAAGGGTACAAAGTTTTGTTATGCAAGATGAATAAGTTCCAGAGATCTAATGTATAGCATGGTGACCATAGTTAATGATATTGTATTGTATACTGGAAATTTTCAAAGAGGATAGATCTTTAATTAAATCTTCTCAACACACACACACACACACACACACACACACACAAAATGATAACTATGTAGAGGTAATAGAGATGTTAATTAGCTTGATTGTGGTGATCTTTTCACAGTGTATACATATGTGAAAACATATTTATACCATAAATATATACAGTTTTTATATGTCAAAGATATATCAGTAAAGCTGTTAAAAAAGAAAAATCAATTGACCATAAGTGTCAGTTTTAATTTCTGGACTCTCAATCTGTTCCGTTGATTTATATGCCTATATACCAGTACCACAGTGTCTCAATTATGTAGTAAGCTTTGAAATCAAAAAGTATGCGTCTTTGGGCTTCCCTGGTGGCGCAGTGGTTGAGAGTCCGCCTGCCGATGCAGGGGACACGGGTTCGTGCCCCGGTCCGGGAAGATCCCACATGCCGCGGAGCGGCTGGGCCCGTGAGCCATGGCCACTGAGCCTGTGCATCCGGAGCCTGTGCTCCGCAATGGGAGAGGCCACAACAATGAGAGGCCCGTGTCCCGCAAGAAATAAAAATTAAAAAAAAAAAAAAAAGTATGCGTCTTCAAGCTTTGTTCTTTTTGAAAGTTGTTTTGGGTATTCTAGATCCCTTGAATTTCATGTGAATTTTAGGATCAACTTGTCAAATTTCTGCAAAGGACCCAACTGGGATTTTGATACGAATTATTTTGTATCTGTAGATCAGTTTGGAGAGCAATGTTATTAAGTCTGCCAACCCATGAATGCGGGGTACCTTTCTGTTTATTTAGGCTATCTTTCTGTTTATTTAAGTCATCTTTCATTTCTTTCAGCAAAATTTTGTAGCTATCAGAGGATAAGTTTCACACTTCTTTTATTAAGTGTATTCCTAAATGTTTTATTCTTTTTGCTTTTGTAAATGGAATTTTTTTAATTTTTATTTTGGATTGTCCATTGCAAATTACAAAAAAAAATAGGTTTTTATATATAGATCTTGTATCCTGTAATGCTGCTGAACTTGTTTATGAGTTCTGATAGTTTTTTAGTGGATTCTTTAGGATTTTCTATATACAGCAGGGGTCCCCACAGCTACTGGAACGGGGCCTCACAGCAGGAGGTGAGCGGTGGGTGAGCAAGCGAAGTTTCACCTGTATTTACAGCCGCTCCCCATCACTCACATTACTGCCTGTCAGATCAGCGGCAGCATTAGGTTCTCATAGGAGTGGGAACCCTACTGAGAACTGCACATGCAAGGTGTCTAGGTTGCACGCTCCTTGTGAGAATCTAACACATGATGATCTGAGGTGGAGCTGAGGCGGTGATGCCAGCGCTGGGGAGCGGCTGCAAATACAGATTATCATTAGCAGAGAGGTTTCACTGCACAGAGATCACAATAAGTCAGTTGCTTGCAGACTCATATCAAAACCCTATCAGTGGGCTTCCCTGGTGACGCAGTGGTTTAGAGTCCGCCTGCCGATGCAGGGGACACGGGTTCGTGCCCCGGTCCGGGAAGATCCCACATGCTGCGGAGCAGCTGGGCCCGTGAGCCATGGCCGCTGAGCCTGCGCGTCCAGAGCCTGTGCTCTGCAAGGGGAGAGGCCACAACAGTGAGAGGCCCGTGTACCGCCAAAAAAAAAAAAAAAAAAACCCTACCAGTGAGTGGCAAGTGAAACAAGCTCAGAGCTCCCACTGATTCTGCATTATGATGAGTTGTATAATTATTTCATTATATATTACAATGTAATAATAATAGAAATAAAGTGCATAATAAACGTAATGTGCTTGAATCATCCCGAAGCCATACCCCCCACCCACCCCCATCCATGGAAACTGGTCCCTGGTGCCAAAAAGGTTGGGGATTGCTGATATCCAGGGTCATGTCATCTGCTAATTTTAGATAGTTTTACTTCTTCTTTTCCATCTCGATGCCTTTCGTTTCATTTTCTTGCCTAATTACTGTGGTTAGATCCTCCAGTAAAATATTGAATAGAAATGGCAAGAGTGGACATTCTTGTCTTGTTCCTGGTCTTAGGGGAGAGGCATCCAGTCTTCCACCAGTAAGTATGATGTTAGCTCTGGGTTTTTTGTAGATGCCCTTTATCAGGTAAGAAAGTTCTCTTCTTTTTTTTTTTTTTTATGTTTATCTCCACCTACCCCAAATTCACTTGGCAAGTCTTATGCATATAATAAATGGTCAATATATATGTAATGGGTAAATATTTTTAAGATAGTCTTAATTTCCCTAAAAATGAATGTGCACGAATCTACCATGTAGTAAACACTTTCTTTCATTTTCTCTTCTCACAGAAATGATCATATCCTCTTAAAGTAGGTATTTGTTTCATGTTAAATAATGAGATCTTTGTAATGAAGTGACATACTAAGTGTACTTTCAGTTGCATTTCCTTTTGTGCTACTAATGGAGAAAAATAGACTTATTCCTTGGCATGTGTTAATCAGGCAAACAAATTATTCCCACAGACTCTCACTAATTGGTCAGTTCTTCAGTAACCAAGTTGGGCAGAGTACGTTGTGGTAGTTCCCCATTCAAGTTAGCGTTTATAAGAACTGAATGCTTAGGGTCCTTCCTGCTATATGAATGGTATGTTCTGTAGATAAGTAGCTGCATCTAGGAGTTGGCATATTGATCATTGTCATCTGTTCTTTCCCTCTGAGCACTTGTGTTCTTGTATATATCTTTGTATTGACATTGGTGTTGCCACAGTATATACAGAGATAAAGAAAAAAATAAATTACAATAAAATTAGAACCAGGTGTGAAATTAGAGATGTTTCAAAATTAAATGAAGGGATATAAAGCTGTTTGCTTGCTTTACTCTTAAGGCTGTAGTAGCAAGTAGAGAAGGAATTTGGGAAGAGTGACATAGAGTCCTTGTGAGAATAAGGATGTTATAGAGGTAAACAGAGAGGTACCTAAGCACTCCTTGACAAAGTGAGGCTGTTGGTGGAGATTTCAGGCACCCTTTTTTTTTTTTTACATTATTGTACCACATGATTACATTTTTATATATTTTTTAAAAACGAATAATAATTATTTCTCAATGCAGTGCCACTCTGTTTTTCAGATTTGTACTATGGTGGGGAAGCTTTCTCTGTAGAGCAGCCACAGTCTTTTACTTGTCCCTATTGTGGAAAAATGGGCTATACGGAGACATCTCTTCAAGAACATGTTACTTCTGAACATGCAGAAACATCAACAGAAGTGGTAAGTGAAGCAGCCTTGTGTCTAAATGATATGGTAAAGTATTTTATTTCTAACATAAATAAAGCCATGTCGCTATCATCTACCTCCTGCTAAGTGTACTGATACTGTTTGTGTGATAACTGTTAAATTATCTTCTAACAGCAAATTTTACACATCCTAGGAGGGAGGCTGCACATGTAACGAGATGATGCCCCCTATTTGTCCACACTAGCCTTTCTTGCCGTGTTGCTAAAAGCACAACGTGGAATCTTAACCAAATTCAGGAGCCTTCAGTAAACACGTGGTGAAAAGGTTTAAAGCACCCCGACCTGCAACACATCTCTTTCCATAGTATTCTAGCTGCCTGATTGATTTCTCTTTTATAAGGAAACCTTCACAAGGAAATTTTAAAATCTTTGGTCATATACTAAGTAGAAATCATTGTCACATCTCATTGTGACATATCACTGACCTTCCTTGGTTTTCATCAGATCATATCTCTTGCTTCATAGGTCAGAGCTTTGAGGTCCCTAGAAGTTCCTCCTACTCTGATCTTTGCCAGTGGCCAGGGACCCAGAATAATACACAAAGAAAATCTTGGCTTGAAAGCTTTTTGGATATTTTACTTGACACCTGGGTCAACATATATCCAACTTCAAGAAATGATGAGTGCACCCCAAAGAGTCCCCTTCCCCCCATTTACCATTGGTAACAGTAGATAAAGTTAGCCATGAGAGCTGGAACTGTGGGTGTGGAACTCGGAGAGTTTGGGCACAAGCATTTGCACATTGCTTCAACTTATAAGCCCCTGAATGTACTCAAAACAAATTAACTGAAACTCAGGAGAAGTAAAGTAATGGTGTATCCAAGGACGCACAGCTAGTAAGGGACAGAGTCAGGTGTTTGAACTCAGCCAGAGTCCCTCTGGGTTGTAGAGTCCCTACTTAACCACTGTCTTATTCTGTCTCCACTACAGCCCTGCTGTTTACAGCTGTGAGAGTACAGGTTCACTGTTATCTCCACTTACACTGCTAGTTGATGTTAAAGTTGTTATAAGATTTATAGTTCAAACAGTTGGTAAATGTACATTATGTAGTTGTCAAGTCAAATTTTACCGTCTAACAACTCAAAAATGCTCTCATCTTGCACCTTGGGGAACCTCAGAACACTATTGTCACATTTTACTTGTGTTCTTAATTTGTTCTTTTTATTCTACAAAGGTGATTTTGCTTCCTTTTGGAACAGTCCCAGATAACAGTGTGAAGAATGAATGCTGATTTGATTGCATCTCTGTCCTGGTTGTTGTGGGAAAGTTGGAATAATTTCTCTTTGATTTAAATTCTGTTAAGTTTGAGAATTTATTTACCTAGATATAATAAGGAGGGGTTTCCCTATTGTAAACCTGGCATTCTTAAAATCATTATTACATTAGCCAGTAGGCCCTAGTGTAGTAGTTCCATCACCCCATTGGGACAGGACAATGTGTCGGTTTTCCACATCTAAAATTGGGGAATCCAGTGGAAACTCAAGTCCTCTCCATGAATGAAAAGCTAATTATTCATTTTTAAAAATGAGAGTCAACTACCAGCAGCCTTGCCTTTATTTTTTTCCAGAAAGTAATACAATTTATTTATACTCCTTTGTACCTGATACACAGTTTGAAAATTAAATACCATCCACAAATAGTTTTTTGGTCTGTCTCTCATAAGTTGTGTTCAGTTATATGCCTTCGTTTAGTTCCCCAACTTTTGGAACATAGCTCAAGGCAGCGGCCATACCATTTTTTCATATTAGTATTTGTGTAATATTTTAAGGATTTCTCCCTCCTCATGGGCTCTTAGTCTGCATGAGCACTGCATCTGCCTTGCTTCCCACTCATTAGCACACCCAGACATTTCAAAGTGAAAAATAGCAAGCAGGCAAGAATCTTTGTTACAAAGGTGCTTGATTCTTTGAATCATGTAGGTCATGTCCTAGATCCGGGGCTGACATCAGCAGGTGTACCACGTGTGGAATACTGGCCAGTGTCCATGCTCAATGATTGCTGCCTATGCCTTTCCAGGTGTTAAGTATTTTGAATGCCTCTAGGTATATATGTGAAACACATTATCAGCTCTGATGTGTTACAGTTATACGTAAATGTTCATGTGATATTATTATGTGTGCCCTCTCAACACCCTCCCCCCTGTGTTTTGCCAAGTCATGGTAATTAAAACATTTTTGAATTCTGGAGTTCAGGAGTGACTCATGTCATTTTGGAAGGTAGGGAATTAGATTCACATAATAACTGTATCTCTGTTTCTATTCCTGTTTATATTTTTCTTCCTAAATGCTTAATTTGCTATCCTTCTTTGCCCCTGCATTTCCTGCATATCTCTCCTCTGTACCACCAGCTTGTACCTTCCTCTAGGACTTAAGGATCTCACTCCTCTAACCAGCATCCCTTTGGAACATTTAGGAGCGAGAGGATATATCCCCGCAGATATTACTATCACCACTAGTAAGCACTTACCGATACCTGACATAGCTAGTAAGAAAGTGTACGGAAGGTTAATTTTTAAAATAACTTTGTAGTCTTTGTCTCTCTCTCTCTCTCTTTATATATATATACATATATATATATATTTTGTGTGTGTGTGTGTGTGCGCGGTACGCGAGCCTCTCACTGTTGTGGCCTCTCCCATTGCGGAGCACAGGCTCCAGACGCTCAGGCTCAGCCGCCATGGCTCACGGGCCCAGCCGCTCCGGGGCACGAACCCATGTCCCCTGCATCGGCAGGCGGACTCTCAACCACTGCGCCACCAGGGAAGCCCCTTTGTCTATACTTTTGTCTCCTTTTTCAACTTGGGACTCTAAGGCCCCAACCTAAGATTTGCCTCCTTTCTTAAGATTAATTTAAGATTGCTCAAGAGGCTTTTGATTTTGAGGATATGGAGGATCCTTCAAACTAGATATTATTAAAAACATCTGACATAGAATGCAGAGTGAAGATGATTAAAAATTTTACAAGCAGATTGGGTATATAGTCTCAGGGATTTTTTTTATAAACACCAAATCTGGTAAGCAGTGTGATTTTGAAGTTAAGCACAAGTTCTTGAAAACCCTCATAGTTATGAAACCTGGTAGATTGGGACAACTAACTAGTTTTTGGCTGCGGGAAGAATTAAGGGGGGAAGTAGCACAGTATGTAATTATCAAAATCCATCAAAGCTGGTGGTAGACGTGAGCGCTGGAGGTCAAGCGGGACTCTGCAAGCATGAAGGATTTGTTGAGGAAGTGGTAGGAGTGTGGAAGAAACATGGCGGGAAAGCTTTGAACATAAAAACATTAAGCATGACTCCTGAAATTTTTCTTAAATCTTACATTTGGGGCTTCCCTGGTGGCGCAGTGGTTGAGAGTCCGCCTGCCGATGCAGGGGACGCGGGTTCATGCCCTGGTCCGGGAAGATCCCACATGCCGCGGAGCGGCTGGGCCCCGTAAGCCATGACCGCTGAGCCTGCGTGTCCGGAGCCTGTGCTCCGCAACGGGAGGGGCCACAACAGTGAGAGGCCCGCGTACCGCAAAAAAAAAAAAAAGAAAAAAAAAAATCTTACATTTGAGGTGACTTGCACTGCAGCTAATTAGAAAGCCTTCAGGGATTTTTTGTTGTTGTTTTTAAATGAAATGTAGCTTTACCTCTAATTAATGATATGTAATTAATCTTTCAGTTCCTTGTTTAATAAGTCTCTTGCAATTTATATTAAGAACATTATGCTTTAAAAAGTAAAAGCACTTTTGTTCACCAACATTTTCTTCTCACTTCTAGAAATCTGTGTTGCAGTATACTACTCCGTTCATAATTGCATCAGTTCTCTAGCATTCCCTGCTGGAAGCTTTTTGCTTTCTATTTTTCATTTGGTTTTACTCTTTGGTTTCTTTACTCTCCAAAAAGGGGAGGTTAGGGCAATCTCCAGCTTTTAGGTTTTCATACGTGTAAGGGATACAGTCCCTCCCTTTTTTTTTTTTTTTTTTAAATTGTGTTAGTTTTGTTAATTTTTATTTTCCTAGGGATACATCCGTGTAAGTTTCTGAACTTGACACAAGGTTATTCATAATATCATCTTATTATATTGTCGATGTCTACGCTATCTGACTCTTTCTCATTTCTTTTTTGTTTTTTGGGGGTTTTTTTACCTTTTTTTTTTTTAATTAATTTTTATTGGAGTATAGTTGCTTTACAGTGTTGTGTTAGTTTCTACTATACAGCAAAGTGAATCATCTTGCACCTTGGGGAACCTCAGAACACTATTGTCACATCCCTCCCTTTTTAATGAAGACCTAGGTATGTTTGTAACAAATTGAGTTTAATTTTGAAATAGCATGGTTGTATTGTGTTCTATTTATACTGATTTGATAAGAAGTAAAAACCAAGAAGAAAGAATTATTTTAGAAATTTTTCACAATCTGACTTTATACAATTTTATTCTTATGGAGAAACATGATGACATAAAAGGACTTTTAAATTTTTTTTAATGAGTCAGAATAATCTGTTTTAGCTGATAATTTATTTAATATTTAGACAGTTGTTAGAGTGTAAATTAAAAGGAGCCATAGAACACAGAATAGAAGTTATCATCATTGTGGCATTTTGTGTATAAACAGATGCATTTGATACCTAAATTAAACAAGCAGGAAAATATAAGATCAAATATATTTCAAACCAAAATAATGTGACAGATATGGTTTATACATGAGGGCTATGAAAGGTTACATATTTTTAAATTGTGTATAGGACTTTTAAATTTTGACCATCAAAACAGTATCTGTATTTCATTGAAAGACCATTTTAATATGTAGATATATAGAGCTAACTTCCCAACACAGGTGTTTCCTTATTAGGAACAATAATAATGGAGTGAACCACAATTTTTACAAATCTCCTAATCTAATCTTGTACATTTTCTTAAATGTTATAATTACCTATTTACTCTTATAATCAGGTAATCAAGAAAAGTAAGCATTTAAAAGCCAAATACACATTT